CTTAAAGGTACCAAAGCCGTGATCCCAAAATCGCTGCAAGGAGACTACATCACCATTATGCACAGAGGACATCCTGGCGTGGAAGCTACCAAGCGGAGGGCGCGGGGGATCGTTTTCTGGCCGTTCATGTCAAGAGACATTGAACAAGCAGTTACTTCTTGCTCGGTGTGCAACAGCACTAAACCTCATCAACAAAAAGAGCCCCTTCATCTGCATGAAGTTCCAGATCTCCCTTGGTCAAATGTAGCTACAGATATCTTTGAGTGGCACTGTCAGCACTATTTAGTAGTAGTCGACTCATACTCAGGCTGGTTTGAGATCGACCTGCTAAAGGATTTGACATCAGCGACAGTCATTAAAAAGCTGAAAAGACACTTCTCAGTTCATGGTGCTCCACACACTCTGATCTCAGACAATGGAAGGCAGTTTACAAGCCAGCGTTTCAAAGACTTCGCTTCACAGTGGGACTTTCGACATGTCACCAGCAGTCCAGAGTATCCTCAATCTAATGGGCTTGCTGAGAGAGCAGTGCGCAGTGCTACACAGCTGATGGAGAAATCTCACAGAGATGGCACCGATGTATTTCTCAACCTGCTGAATCTCAGGAATGTTCCACGTGATGTGAACCTGGGTTCACCTGCAGAACGACTTCTATCCAGACAGACTCGAACTACACTCCCAATCATGACCAAACTGCTCGAACCACAACACCGTGGATCTGAGAAAGTGAAAGCCCAGCTACTCAACAAGAGACTGACTCAGAAGGTCTGTTACGACAGATCCAGCCAACCACTTCCACCTCTTGAAGAAGGACAAATAGTGAGGTTACAGACCCCACAGGGTTATGACCGCACAGGTGTGGTGAAGGAACTTTGTAAAGAACCTAGATCCTACCTGGTACAGTCAGATGGGAACATTTACAGGAGAAATCGCAGACACATTTTGCCTGTGTCTGAGCCTGTTACTGCTCAGGAAGGCACTGATCATCATCATGATGATGGTCTGCAGGGTGGGGGTGAAAACAATGATGTAGAACCATTTAAAGACAGCACTCATGTTGAGAGCTCTTCTGATGTTTTGCATTCTCCAGGACCTTCCAGGAGTGATGGTGTTTATAGGACACGCTTTGGTCGTGTATGCAAACCAAATCCAAGATATAGGGATTAATTGAGTACTAGTTATAACACAGAACTTGTTCAGGTTTGATGTTCGATTCTACAGTAACTGATGTCCACGTTTCAAGTTAAAATTCTGGTTGAGGTAATTTTCAGTTGTAATCATTTTTAATTTTATGCAGCAAAATGATGTGTTGTCATGTTTATTTCTTCCATTTGATTACAAATTTAAATGTTTCCAAGGATCAGTGGATGTCACCTTTTAATGCTGTGATTATTGTTGTTTAGCATGCATTAAACTTTATATCCGGTTAGGGATGTACTAAAGAAGGGGGATGTAGACAACCTGCTGTTTAGTATTTTGTTATAATCTGCTTGCCGTACCTCCGGGTAGGTCTGTGTATGTGTTGACTGGTACAGGGGGCATTCGGGTAGTGAGTCCATGCATGTAAGTTGTCTGCTGTTCTGCTGGTTAATAAAACCACGTTAACTGAATATACGGCTTCATCATTACCATACTGGTGAACATACAACACATGTACTCATTACAGCTGAGCCTTTACTGTTTGGTTTCTTTACATTTAGAACACGTCACCCCACAACAGAATATTTGTCTTCACCTCCTTCAACATGGAGAAATATTTTTGGAGCATGAGAGTTACAGACGTCACATGTAGCTGCTAAGGTCACACACCACCATTTGGCCAACAGCAATTAATTACTAAGAATAAAATGCTGTGCAGAAATTTAAACACACGAGTGCGCCACACAACTCATGGTTTTAGGCAGAACAGCCATAATTGACATAATACAGGTGCTGGCCAGTAAATTAGAATATCATCAAAAGGTTGAAAATATTTCAGTAATTCCATTCAAAACGTGAAACTTGTACATTATATTCATGCAATGCACACATACCAATGTATTTCCGATGTTTATTACGTTTAATTTTGATATTTATAGGTGACAACCAATGAAAACATCAAATCTGGTATCTCAGAAAATTAGAATATTCTAAAGGCCAATGAAAAAATGTTTGTTTCTCTAATGTTGGCCAACTGAAAAGAATGAACATGAAAAGAATGTGCATGTATAGCACTCAATACTTAGTCGGGGCTCCTTTTGCCTCAATAACTGCAGTAATGCGGCGTGGCATGGACTCAATCAGTCTGTGGCACTGCTCAGGTGTTATGAGAGCCCAGGTTGCTCTGATAGTCGTCTTCAGCTCCTCTGCATTGTTGGGTCTAGCGTATTGCATCCTCCGCTTCACAATACCCCATAGATTTTCTATGGGGTTAAGGTCAGGCGAGTTTGCTGGCCAATCAAGGACAGGGATACCATGGTCCTTGAACCAGGTGCTGGTGGTTTTGGCACTGTGTGCAGGTGCCAAGTCCTGTTGAAAGGTGAAGTCTGCATCCCCATAAAGTTGGTCAGCAGCAGGAAGCATGAAGTGCTCTAAAACTTCCTGGTAGACGGCTGCATTGACCCTGGACCTCAGGAAACAGAGTGGGCCAACACCGGCAGATGACATGGCACCCCACACCATCACTGACGGTGGAAACTTTACACTGGACCTCATGCAACGTGGATTCTGTGCTTCTCCGCTCTTCCTCCAGACTCTGGGTCCTTGATTTCCAAAGGAAATGCAGAACTTGCTTTCATCAGAAAACAAAACTTTGGACCACTCAGCATCAGTCCAGTCCTTTTTGTCCTTGGCCCAGGCGAGACGCTTCTTGCGCTGTTTCATGTTCAAGAGTGGCTTGACACACGGAATGCGACACCTGAATCCCATGTCTTTCATGAGTCTCCTCGTGGTGGTTCTTGAAGCGCTGACTCCAGCTGCAGTCCACTCTTTGTGGATCTCCCCCACATTTTTGAATGGGTTTGTCGTCACAATTCTCTGCAGGGTGCGGTTATCCCTAGAGCTTGTACACTTTTTTTCTACCACATTTTTTCCGTCCCTTCGCCTGTCTGTTAATGTGCTTGGACACAGAGCTCTGCGAACAGCCAGCTTCTTTAGCAATCACCTTTTGTGTCTTGCCCTCCTTGTGCAAGGTGTCAATGATTGTCTTTTGGACAGCTGTTAAGTCAGAAGTCTTCCCCATGATTGTGGTGCCTTCAAAACAAGACTGAGGGACCTTTTAAAGGCCTTTGCAGGTGTTTTGAGTAAATCAGCTGATTAGAGTGGCAGCAGGTGTCTTCTATATTCAGCCTTTTCAGAATATTCTAATTTTTTGAGATACCAAATTTGGAGTTTTCATTAGTTGTCACTTATGAATATCAAATTTAATGTAATGAACATTGGAAATACATTGGTCTGTGTGCATTGCATGAATATAATGTACAAGTTTCACGTTTTGAATGGAATTACTGAAATATTTTCAACCTTTTGATGATATTCTAATTTACTGGCCAGCACCTGTATGTACTAAAATGCCGTAAGTAATGACCACACCTGTCTACAGCACTATTAGTCACTCTTTCATACATTTGTCATCTAAAAATGTCAGCTATGGGTAACTTTTTCTCAATGAAATAATAGCAACATTCTAAAGTTGATCAAATTGTAATTTTTGTAATTAACATTTTCTACGTAGGCACAGCATCATGTGAGAAGCTCACTGCCATTCTGTTAGCTCCACGGTTTGTGAAGGACGTAGAGAAGATAAGCCCTGTGTACCACACATCCACCTTGGAGGCTTTCCACAGCCTCATCATCAGATTTACTCCAAAAAGTCAGGTCTTCTCCTTCAAAGGAATGCTGTCTAGGTAATGAATACAACAAATGTTCAAATTAATGCCTCTAATTGTTCAAATTTTAGAATGAAATGTAGAATTTTGCCTAAAATCTACATGGTTTGTTTATTTGATTATTTCAGATTACAAATTGCTGCAATGCACTATAATGAAAATGCAGCACGCTCACATGCAGCAACAGCAACTGGTGAGCTGAGATATGCTGTAGTGTACCCAAAGTACAAACGTGGAGACTACACAGTGAGAGCCCTGAAGACCAATCCAACCTCATGTATGTCAGATATTGTATGATAAAACCAAAATGATGTCATGGAGAACTATTGTAATACTGAAAACCCTTTTCCAGTATATGTGCACAAGCTTATGGACCTGCTGTTCGACTCTGTGGTGGTGGATCCTCTCCCATATCAGGAGTACTCTGACAAAATTCCGGTTCCAGAACCGCTCTGTGCCCAGTTCCAAAGACCAGATAAACGGGATGCTGTGAGCAGGCACAGGTCCAGGTTTTAAAGTGCACGTAAGGTGAGCTACACAACAAGAGATTGTAATTATTAGTTAGTACTCTACTCTGTGTGGTTTTTCCTTTTCTCCTCCTCAGCCAGGCTGCACACCACTGTACGACAGAGGAGTTACCTGTCGTCATTATGGATCTTTATGCTCATCCACTCGTGACTCATGCTGTCCACCTCCCAGATGTCTATTGATCTCTACAACCTTTCTGCTCTGTGGCTCCCATACAACTTGAAAATCTTGGCCGTATGTAACATAGCAAAACTCACCAGTCTTGCTTTTGTAAGTCATACTAGTCATACTAATATTACTTTTTTCCTCAGAGCCTCCTGATATTGTTACAGAAAAGCCTGTGCTCCCGGGATCCATCTCCACGTTTGTCATCACAGTGAAAGCTACCTCCAGTCTAAGGAACCAAAGAAACATCACTGATGGCCCAACCTATCCTCACATGGCTCCAGAATCTCTGCTTGTGGTTTAGAGTTTTGTCAAAAATCATGAAAGTTATGATCAGATTGTAATCTAACGTTGTCTTAGTAGTAGCTATAATAAATGTTATCTTTAAAGCGCAATTGTGTCATTTTAAATACAATTATATTGATATTTTGATGTGTATAAATACATATATCACATTTATTAAATTATAATTCATTTTTACCTAATTGAACCTGCTCTAGAATAGACTTCATTAATCACACAAGGTGTAAACTCACTTGTTACAGCAGCATTAATTAACCCCGAATTAGAACCTTACTGTTGTAAGAGCTCATTTGAAAGTGTGTGGCTATATGTGTGTATATATAAATAATGTCAAAGTGTAAAGAAGTGCATTTACCGTTTTGTGATTTATGCAGCTTTTTATGGACAGGAATCAATACAGGAAATATATATTATAACATTTATTTAATCCAAAAAATATATATTAGTTCAGAGGAGGGAGGAATCCTTTGTATGCACCGTCTTCTGGGAACTCCTGCCTTATTCTGGAGACAGCGCATGACGGGATCACAACACGAACATGCTGTCCCAGGTAACCCCAACACCACCTGACCACATTCCGGTACGCCAGATGTCTGTAACAGCTGAGAAAGAGGTGGTATTAGTTACAAAGTATTCATAAAAAAATTATTTTGACAGTTGTCTTACCTGTTGAGCATAGTCTCCTGCATCTCCCCATAGAGTTGCAGAAAGGTGCCATAAACTGCCTGCAACACGTAGGGATTCAGAGCAACAGCCTCAAAACCAGGATGCTTAGTTATGCAGGAGGTTACACCCACCTGCTGACACCTGAGCATTATCTATGACAAAGAACAACTGATATCAGGGCTATAAGAGTTCAATATTAGTATGATGTTAGTGATTGTGTAACAAATGTGTACATTACAGAATGCTTTTCTCATGGTGGGGTACTTTTATTTTTATACCTTGGGCGTTTCTCTGCAGCACACATTTTCTCTGGCAGACAATGATGTGCAGTGGCCGCAGGTGCACCTGTTGAGGCAGTCATACAATATTACTTTTAGCTAAGCTAAATATAGCTAGCTGTGGCTAAAAGCTACTTACCACTCAGAGACTGGACCCATTCGATGCCTTGATACTCCTGCTGGCTCGGCTCCAGGGGCCTCTGACAACTCACGAGCTAGTGGCTCAAAAAGATACGGTTCAGGACCGCTTGCTTCCCCCAATAAGCCCTCCTCCCTATCCTCTGGGGAAGAAGGTGGGGAAAAGTCCTCCACCTCGAATGACTGCTCTGAGCTACTGTCGCTCTCCGTCGCCATCTGTATTCAAATTTCAGTATGTCAATCACGGTCGTAGCTCCGCCTTCTCGGTCTTACAGGAAACGCCTCTTTGGGCCGCATTTTTCAAATATGAAATGTGGGTGGAGTAAGACTCTGACAGGGGATTACCACTACTTTAAAGCGTACGCAATCTGGATGCAGTAACGCGCGACGGCAATTACCCGACTTACAGCGTTTACCTAGCAAGTTAAGCTACGGTAGGTGCCTACGAGCATTCCGGTAAGATTTGGCTGTCGCCTATGTAATGGAAATATCTTCCACAATAGCTCGCCCACAGTGTCAACACACTGAGACGAAGGGTGTCCGAGAATTCGGAGAATTTAGTCTTAATTTTAGGATTGAGGAGAAGCTGCTCACGGTAGCTCACCCAGCAAGTTTCAGAGCGGAAATGTAGCTTTCCGACCTGAAGAGATTAGAGGCGCGGCGGCGCGTCAAAATGGGCAGAATTTAGTCAAAATCACAACTCACACGTTCGCTCCGAAGGCGAAGATGGGATAAATCAAAGTACTGTCTGTAATTTGCGGACAATTTGAGATCGGAGATCGTCCTCCGTCAAGTTTCCACCAGGACGTCTCCCGGAAGAGTGACTTCAGCGGAATAATTTCCGGTTTTCTTCAAAATAAGACATCAAAGTGAAACACAGAGAAAAGGCTAAAATTGTGAAAAATCAGCTTGTAGATGTTTGAAATCAGATATATCGCAGATATAGAAGTCTGGATACGCTCGCCATATTGTAAAGAAATTTGGCTGGCTCAGCCATATTTGTAAAGAAAAAATTTGGCTAGCTCAGTTATATTTTAAGGAAAAACTGTCTTTACTCAGTTATATTGATAAGAAGACTCAAAGGTTGTTTTCATCGATAAACTGACGATAATATCTGAGTGTCTGTGTTTCAGTTCAATGAGGAAACCAGTTTGACAATTAAAAGTTTTAATTCTTCAAATTAAACTAATGATTTTGAAATTGACAAACAGGAAATAACAATCAACATTGGCAACTTTGTGGGACAATCTTTAACAGTTGATATGCTGTTCTTGCTCAAATAGACCTTCTGTCGGTGAATGAAGATTGAGAGTGATATGATGTGATTATGGATGCGTGTGTGTGCAAAGTGTAGTGAGAATTGAACATGAGGTGAGATGGATGCGTGTGTGTATCTGATTTTGCTTCAGGAAGAAACAGGTGTCTGAGTGAAGTGATGGTTTGGATAAACTTAGGTCTTATCAGAGAACTGCATCAAACGCTAAACACCGTGCTCTGTCTCACCGAACTCTTGTGGACCCTCTTTCGGATCCGGGCCATGGAGGATGGTGGTGGTTCATCCAGATGACACCAGGCTGACAGGGGAGACGTAGGTGTCGAACGGAACCGGTCCAGAGTTGCCCTCGGTACACGTTGATGGTAAAGCGTTTTGTCGATGCGCTTTCTTAAGTTAAGTTCACTCAGAAATCAAAAGACTCGGTAATGAGTCTGCGTTAGAAGTCGCGATTCAGCTATTTTGTCTGGCTTGGCAGGAACAGTGTGAGAGAAAGGGGGGGAAGAAACGAGCCAACCGGCTCCCCCCCTTTCAGCGGTTGTTCACACGTCCACTCTCTTTCGTTGTCAAGCACGAACTGAAATCATAAGACTGAAACTTACCAAAAGCCTTTCTCTTCTCAAAGCAAACGTGTGCGTCAGCAAATGTGTTTTGGAGTTTAACTGTGAGAATCTGTGTGTGGGTGTGGGTGCTTGAGTGTGTGTGAAGGTCAGCAACAAACACTCTCAACATTATCTAATTATGGATTCATTAAATCTCTTATAATTACCCCAAAGCATAATAGTCATTCATTTGATTAAAACACATTTATAATGAGCAAATTGATGATTAAACTTTTAACATTCAAAACAAGAAAAGGAAGTTTAAACTTTATGTTTTGACTTGTTATGACTACTTGTCCATGAGAACTCCTTCTTCTGGTACCGCAGGTGGCAGATGTTATGGTTTCCTCCCAGACTCGCTGGCGTTCAGGTCTTAATCTGTGGGTGAAAGTTCTCAATGACCCAGCTTTGACCCAGCTGAGTCCAACACCACCTTTGTGACAGAAAACCCATATTTCCTCACGTTACAACGCCAATTGTGGCAAGGTGGATAAACGAGGGCCCGGGCGGGATTCGATCCCCAGACTCCCGGGTGAGTCATACGCTCTAACTAGTCAGCCAAAGGGACATCCCCTTGGCCAAGTAGCCAGGGCGCATGATCTATCGGGACATGGTGACAGGACACTCACACTGCCACATTTAAATGCTCACATACTTGGATGGCCACTATTTTCTCAAGGACTCTGGATAAAAATGGAAGGTTAGATATTGGTCTATAATTCATTGGGTCATCTGGATCCAGAGAAGGCTACTTAAGTAAAGGTTTGATTACAGCAACCTTAAAATCCTGTTGTACGTATCCATTTACTAAGTATAGATTGACTATTTCTAGAATGGGGGCAGTAACCAAAGGAAATGTATCTTTAATTAATTTGGTTGGGATTGGATCTAAAATGCAAGTTGAAGGTTTAGATGAAGCTAATATTTTTGATAACTCTGAAAGCTCAACTGGATCAAAACGGTTCAAACACAGATGAGGTTCTACAGTCACCTCTGATGCTGCCTCACTTACTGAGGAAGAAGAAATTGCATTAGGGAGGATGCTAAAGATTTTAGAATTAATTTTACTTGTGAAAAATCCCATAAAGTCGTTACTGCTGAGGGCTAAGGGAATAGATGGTTCAGAGCTATGATTCTGTGTAAGTTTGGCAACTGTACTGAAAAGAAATTTAGGATTATTCTTATTCTCCTCAATTAACGCTGAGAAATAAGCAGTTCTAGTTAGTCGAAGCTTATTTTGGTAAAGCACAAGACTATTTTTCCAGGACAGGTAGGACTCCTCATGGTGCATAGAGCGCCATGTTCTCTTCAATTTTCTAGTTTTTTTTTTTTGGGGGGGGGGGGGGGGGGGGGGGGGGACAAACAACGCTTCCAAGGAAAATGGACGTACAACACATTGATACGCAGACAGGGTTTTATACACAGGGGCAGGATGATTGGGAGATGAGCTGCAGGTGTGTGGGGACAGAGAAACCTGGTGAAATCAATTTACTAATCAGGGAGAGGAAACTAAGGTGAGGAAGGGAAATAAAACATGACCTATAAATAATAACCAAACTTAAAGACTAGAAGAACAAGACAAATAACTAATGATCTAAGGAGGAAAGGAGAACTAATAAACCGGTGGGGAAGGACCAAGGAAGGAAGGAACCTAGAAGAAAACCTGAACCTATGAAACTACAGGGAAAAATTAGCTAGATAATATAAATACAAAGAAAACTAAAGAATAAGTGAACCTGGGAAAACTGGTGGGAGCTGGAGACAAGCAGGGGCACAGGAAGCTTAGGTACACAGGAGGGGGATCCTAGAAAGACACCTGGAGGGGTTGGAGACCTAAAGGGGCACAGAAACCTAAGGGGAGAACCTGGAGTGGGGCTGGGGAACACAAGGAGACACATAAGGGGAACCTAGAGGGGGAATGGAGAAAACATGAGGGGTACGCAGGATGCAGACCATGACACTTATCAGTGTTTAGCACCAAATCAGATAAAAATCAGAGATCGGATCCTAAAACTCAGAGTAAGGGCCTGGTGGACGACACAAAACTACAAACAAGAGTGGTTTTACGGTTTTGCAATCTGGATTAGGAAAACTAAGAATAAGATGTTCAAAAGAACTGTAACTATTAATTGGTAAGGGATTGATTAATAGGTCTGAATGAAAAATGGTTGCTACTCCTCCTCCTCGCCCTGTACTTCGAGCAATATGTTAATTTAAATAATTAGGAGTCGACTTGTTTAAACTAACATAGTCCTCTTGCTGCAGCCAGGATTCTGTGAGAGAGAGCAACGAGATCTGATTATCACAAATCAAGTCATTAACTAACAAAGTCTTAGACAAAATAGACCTAATGTTCAACAACCCACAATTAATTTTTCTAGTTTTCTGCTCAGATGAATTTTTTCTAATATTTATGAGATTTCCATGATTTGCTTTATTAAGCCTGATGTTTAATCTGTGTGACTTTGGCTGTGGGCAGGACACTGTCTCAATGGGGTAGTGGGTGGGTAACAGTACTGAAGCTGCAGAGGGGTGGGTTAAACTACGACTCTGCTTCCTGGTCTGGACCCTGGGTTGTCATGGAGGACTAATAAAACTGGCCATGTTCCTAGAAAGAAGAGCTGCTCCATCCAAAGAGGGATGGATGCCGTCTCTTTGCATCAGACCAGGTTTTCCCCAAAAAGTTTTCCAATTATCAATGTAGCCCACATTGTTTTCAGGACACCACCTAGACAACCAGCGGTTGAAGGACAGCATGCGGCTAAACATGTCATCATGAGTCTCTAATGCCACGTTTCTGACTATGGAGCTGCCAATGATGAGTCGGCTTGTCAGTGGGTGCATCATTGAGCGGGGAAAATCTGTTAAACCCTTTTCAGATTGACATTCTGGAACATGTGTGGACAATTCAGTCCGGTTTTTAACCAGAACTGTGTTTTCAGACACACCACTTTTGTACCGGAACTTGTCCTTTCGGCTGCCTTCACACAGCAGGGAAAAGTTCCAGATGTCTGAGGGGGAGGGGGGAAACATAGTGCGGCAAGCGTACGTGCGTCATTTACCCAAACAAAGCCATTCAGTCAAACATGGCAGACGAAGAGATAGAATTCCTCTCACTGATCGGACTTATGTTAAGCATAATTCTGCGTACACGAAGACGCATAAGAGACCAGGATGATGAAGCTCAATGGTTAAAAGGAATCACGGAAGCAGTGTGATGCGCTCCGTCGCGCGTCTAGGAGACGGTACAATAGGAGGCGAGCTGCCATGGTTTGCCGCATGCTACAGGAGCGAGCTATCTAGGTGCGCACAGCGTCCCCCGGTCCCCTCCTCCTCCCCCTCCTCCCTGTCCGGAACTCGACCTCACCAGTCTGAAGCAGCCACCCTGTCTGTGACAAGTCCGGACTTGTTACTAGGGGCGTCGTCCAGTTAAATTACGGAAAAGGTTATCCAGATGTTTGTATTCAGACACAAA